AGTCTTCTGAACAAACAGCAGATATTTTGACAAAAGCTCTTGGTGTTAATCAACACAATTATATGTGTTCAAAGTTAAAGATGATAGATCTTTTTAAACGTCAAGATTGAGGGCGGGTGTTGAAAGTTATTATACAATTTCAATCTTGACTAACTAATGTCTTTTATTTGTTAGGTATTTACAAATATGGGCTGAAAATACACAAAGAGTAAAGTGTCTGCTGGTAGATATGTTAGAGGACTGCGCCTCAAGCTTTGGGAATCTTAAAGGGTAGCGGAGCAACAATTGGGTACTACAAGGACTATTCTTGCCTTTTCTAACTTCATATATAAAGAAGATGGAGCCTGTTCACCTAGCCAACAGTATTCATTTTTTCCACATTCTCTAAACAATTCACTCACAAGAACTCTCTCTCTCTCTCAGTTTCTTCTTCATCAAGATTAACCAGATCTATCTTAGATCTTCTTCATCGCACAATACTGAGTTAGTGTTTCTTGTTATTTTCATTAGAGTTTGTATCATAAATAGTTTGTACAGTTTATTTTAAATCTATATTTGTGTTTACTGCATTAATAAAATAGGTTGTTATCTTTCAAGTTAAATGAATCTGTAAATTCTAATAGACTCCCAGCAAAGGAAACCAGGTACATCGACTGCGACTATCTCTGCGTACAATTTTATGCATTTGCTCCTCTTTCTCTATCTCAATTTCATGTTGCCTAAGACAAATCAACGAATTACACCATTTTTTTACGAGACTCGTGATCACTGTATGTATTGGGAACTTGATAAGCAACAACTAGAAACAACATGGATGTATATAAACCTTGGATGCCAAGCATGTTACTTGCTTCCCTTCCACCGTTTTATCTCTCTTTTATCATGCCAAACCGTTGATTTCGTTGTGTTTATAATTGATGGATTTGAAGTTCTTTGAATTGGGTTTCATTCATTTTGTTCTATTTTTCCATATTTTAAGTTAAAAAAAGTATCATTATTGTGTATAATTTGATTTGGAGGTTATATTTCATTTTGAAAGGATCATATATGACAATTTAACATGCACATAAGGTGTTCGATAAAATGCCTCATTGATATCTTGTTTAAGCATGAATTAATATCTTGTTTAAGCATGAATTAATATCCTCATGCATAAAGTAATAGGAGAAAGCCCGATGCATAAATGAATTGTTGGTTTTCTTCTAAAAGCACCTTTGGGATTGCTTATAAAAACAATTTATTGATTTATTCCACTGTGACCCCGGTAATAAACACTTTTGAGTGTTTGGATAAACAACTTATACTCGTGCCAAACCGGTAATAAGGAGTTTTTGAAGAAATTAAACCCTTGTGACTTACAATAAGTTGAGAATTACTTTTATAGAAAAAACATAAGTTGTTTCAAATAAGCAATCCCAAACACCCCTTAATCAACATCCAAATGTTATCTTCAATAAAAGATCATTCTCATTGAGGACGTGACCTACAACGAGCCTCTAGGCCTATTATTCATACAACACTCATTTGTTCTGGTATATCTCAAACAGACCCCTTTCCTCTACTTCATAATCTGATGATCCATTTGCATGACTCACCGGCGTCAAATGAGGAGTCGTAGTTGTCAACTATGTCGTTAAAGTAGGCAGAGGAAACGTGGAAGCCTATGAAGTGAATGACAGCAGATGATGGAGAGAATCTAGCCCTGGCTTGTTAACTCTGATGGCGTCTGTTAGTTGAACAACCTTGGAAGCATTAGGGTTGGGTACACAACCAAGGGGAAGAAGACAATCCACCATCAGATTTCTACTGCCTTGCTGTTATCCCCACCACTTCACTGACAGGTTTTTTTCTTCTGGCAAGATCCAAAAACCAAACAATTAATGATTTAAGCAAAATGGGCATTTGAATAATTTAACTATGGGTTTAGATCTCAGACTACTCAAATCTACCCTGGCATAGCTGTTGATGAATACCAGGTGTTTGATGTTATGTCTCAGAGATAGAGAACTCAATTCAGTCTTGGCATAGTGTTAAATTAAAACTCGAGAATCATATAACTGTCATATCTGCTTCTGGGTTCTCAATTTTATCAGCTACATTCTTATCGAACTTGTTCAAATTCAAAACTGTGTGGACTGTAAAACTCTTCTTCGAAAACATTGATAACTGCCTTAATTTATCGCAGGTGCTAAAAGTTGGTAATAATGTTCATATCAGTTTCATGTTATATGGAACTATCGGTTTCAAATCATCTATTTCTTCCGTTCTTTGAAATGGGATGTATGAGCTAATTAGAGTTGCAGCACGGTTGAACGGTTGAATCCATGTCTAATTGATGTGGTTTGCAGGTTGACGATGGTTAGTTTGGTCAAATTCTGTACTAAACGAACCATAACAACTGTTTTTAAGATAATTAGACATCACCATTTCAACACGGACCGAGCTCTCAAAATTCCAGACGCATTTGCTTCAGTTAATGGTGGTGGTCGAAACATTGTGGCTGTTTTCTGGGACTTGGACAACAAACCTCCGAGATCAATACCTCCATTTGATGCTGCAATTAGGCTGAAAAAGGCTGCTGAATCATTTGGGGATGTTCGGTTCAAGATAGCTTATGCTAATCAACGTTCTTTTGATTACATTCCTCCTGCAGTTAGGGTTCATAGGAAAGATAGGAAAGCATTAAATCAGCTTGAAAATAAGGGTGTTGTTAAACCAGCTGATCCATATATATGTCGTGTCTGTGGTAGGAAGTTCTATAACAATGAGAGGCTTATCAACCATTTCAATCAAATTCACGAGCGTGAACACATGAAACGAGTGGCCCAGATTGCATCAGCCAGGGGCAGTCAGAGGGTCAAATTAGTGGGGAAGTATTCCATGAAAATGGAAAAGTATAGCAATGCTGCAAGAGATATTTTAACTCCAAAAGTTGGGTATGGATTAGGAGACGAGTTAAAACGAGCAGGATATTGGGTTAGTACTGTTTCAAATAAACCACAGGCTGCAGATATTGCGTTAAAAAACCACATTGTGGATCTGATGGATAAGCGGCAGATGGAGTGTTTGATTCTTGTTTCAGATGACTCCGATTTTGTGGAGGTTCTAAAAGAGGCAAGATTGCGATGCTTGAAAACAGTGGTTGTGGGTGATGCCGATGGTGGGTCTCTTAAGCGGGTTTCCGATGCTGCTTATTCGTGGGAGGAGATCATCATGGGAAAGGCTAAGAAAGAAGCAGTATCTGTTGTATGCCGGTGGAAAGATCGCGATATTTTAAGAAGGTTGGAATGGACATATGATTATAAAACGGAGAGGAGATTATACAGTTCGTGTTCTGACGATGACGAACAGATTGACGATTTGGATACAAGTAATTTAGGTTTTGGGGAAGATCATGGAATTAAAACGGATAGAAATCGTGCTTGGTGGAAGCTCGAGTCAGATTCGGATGCTGCATCTTCCTAATCGTATGCATGATCTTTGAAGGGTGCATTTGATACGTAGACAAAACTGGACAGGACTGGATTGAACAGCAGCAAGGTTGGTGGGTAAAAAAAATATGTAAGTGTTTAAGATTTTAATTTGACATGGATATTTTAGTAATTTACTAAACCTGTTACATCTATAATAGTATATATTATATGACAAAGGATCGTGTGAGAATAGAAGTTAAGGTAAAAAGCGTAAGAAGATATCTGGAACCTTGATTATTTTTGCGCTTCTCACACGAATTAATCCGGTACATCTTGGTGCACCGTATTAGTTATGATTTTTAATTAGAATTGATTCAAGGATGGAGATTCTTTTTTACCTTTATCACTATAACTTCTATTCTAACAAAACCAAACCTTATATTACATGTACTTCAAAAAAGGAAAAAGTAGGACTTTGAGACAAGTTAAAATAATAATGGACACGCTTATTTTAAGAACAAAGGAAGTAATTAATTTTTTTTTATTAACCTGGATATTCAACCCGCTATGCGAGCCGACTAATTTCAAAACGACCACCTACTTTATAGATAGTGTAGAATCACCGTATTTGAACCTCCGTGGTCACACGAGGAGTCAAACATAAAGCCAAAAGCTCTACTTTTTTCCCGTGAACAATTCGAGTGGACCACTTGTGATTGATTGCTACTCACTACTCATTGTGTATATAAAAACATATATCTTCATTATATAGAGAGAGAATGTGTTTTGGTAGAAAAACCTCTAGAAAAATAAAATCAAAACTAAGGAATAACTTATTAACCGTTTAATAGTACGATATCCATATGTACATACAAGTAATTGAAAACATTTTTTGGTTAAAATTTAACTATACATCTCTAAAACTATGTGTTTATTGGTTTTATGCACATGTGCATGCAACCCACAAAATGAAGATGATGAGCATGACGACTTATTCATATGTACATATTGCATACAACCCAGAACATGAAGACGAATATGACGATGCACTCACATGTGTATGCAGTTTGGAGCATGAAATACGATGATATGATGATCCATCCACATGTGCATGGAACTCTAAACATGAAAAACATTGAATATGATGACACATTTACATGTGTATGCACCCAAAAATTGAAAACGATGAATATAACGACTTATTCATTTGTGCATGTAGCCGAAAAATTGGAAGAGGTGATACAATTATTTATTTACATGTGCATGCAACCCAACATGTGAATGACATTGAATATGATTACGCATCTATATATGCATGCAACCTAGAAATTGAAACAGGGTGAATACGATGACTTATTCGCATGTGAATACAACCGGAAAAAGTAAATGTTGTGAAATATTTTTTTATGTAGATTGTGGAATAACTTTTGTTTGATTTCCCATAATTTAGATAACTTTTAAATAATAAAGAATTTATGTTAATGAATAATGACTACCCAATTGGTGAAATGTATCAAAACCATTAAATTCATAATTTTTAAAGAGAATATGAATTGTTTTTAAAAATCCGTAAAGGGTTACATATGGTAAACGATATTTATGGAATTAATAATTTAAAAAAAATCAATGTTATTCCTAAAATATGAATATGGAAAAAAGACGCAAATACCCTTGGTTTCTAAGTTTGTAACATTCGTATGGTTTGCATTTTGAAGGAGTCTCTCTCTCTCTCTCTCTCTCTCTATATATATATATATATATATATATATATATGGGGTAAGGTTCAGGGGAAAACCGTAAAAAATGAAAAACAAAGAAATACATTGATAATCGTTTATCTGAACAGTATGCACATATGTATACAAGTAAACTTGTAAGCAATTTGTCTGGTATGCACATGTGCATAACATGCAAACCTGCATAAAAACCAATAAACAACTTCAATTATTTGTATGTACATGTGCATACTATCCAGATGAATGATTATCCCTTAATTTTTCAATTTTTTTGAGATCCCCCCTCTTTCTCTCTCTCTCTCTCTATACATACATACATATATATATATATACATACATATATATACATACAGGGGAGCGATCAAATGCAAACCACTCAATTTGTACAAACCGTGCAAACCGTATTCAACCAATCATAATTTTTCATTTTGTTCATTTTTTTGTAATTATGAGAGGTTGATTAATCATTTTTATTGTGGAGGGTGTTAATCATAGAT